ACATCTGGAATGACAGCAAAGTAATTGGCACCATCAGTCTCACCAAGGATATCTTCGAACCCTACCTGTTGGGTTGTGAAAGTAGGAAATGTTATCTTGCACATTTGTGGATGTGCATCAGAAATGAATTTCGCTAGTGTTCCAGTAAATGGTATATCAGTACTGGCAGTATCTCCAAAGGCACAGTGCACTGTTCGTAGCAAAGAAGAAGGAATTTCCTAGTCAGGTGTAAAATGTGCTTAAAATGTTTTATTGGTGAAAATGAAAGAGCAACATGTTGAGACGAAATCCTAAGTAAACGAAAGAGTCATTAACACCACACAGTTATTTCAATGTGACCAGTGTTGATGTTTATGCAATTCAAAACTAGTACCTCATTAGGCACATATCACACGGATAAAATATATCACAGAAATAATTTCATAACTTGAAGTAGAGAAGGGAAACGGTAACTACATTTTTCATAAAAATAAAATCGAGTCACGCATTCATCTGCGTTATAGAAATACAATGCCTTAAAGGAGATATATTGAATATAATCTTATCAATATCAGTTAAATGGATAAACAAAGTAATTACACTCACGAAAAAAGTCATGTGGATTTTTTGTTGTTATCTAAAAAGTACCGAACAACTGTTTTTAGAAATTCATGGTTTTGGGGATACAATTCTGATGCAGAGAGTCATGCATCCGTTCCCTGTGGTGCACTTTTCATTATTTTTAAATCCACTAAAATGAATGCAGTGATATTAATAAGATTACCTTCATATGATTATTGATGTTGTTACGATCTCGACTGGCCATTGTTCAATTTCTTGACACTGAATCGTTTCACTTGTCTGGTGTCCAAACCGCATAGCAGCGCAAGCTTGAAATACCGTGTTACAACATGTACATGTGAAGTTTGATTACGCAAGCACATTGCCACGTCATGAATGCCCGTCTTCTTTTGGTTTAAATTAGTCACGAGGTATCTAAAGCAGTTATCTATGACATTTAAAACCCTTTCCAGAACTTGGAGTCTTTACAATTACACAAACTGTAAGGACGCTGGTATTCACTGCCTCGTTTATGTATGTATTCTGGTCTATACCTTTCCTAAAGAACTTTAAAGTGATATCTTAAGGTTGCCAATAAACGTATATCCCGAACACAGGAACCCAATAACAACAGTCGCTATATCATAACCTTCTTCCACCGTTTAAAGATACTACTTCATTGTTTGTTGACATAGCAAAGGTAAAATCATTTTCAGAGAGGTGTCTTGGCTGAGTTGGTTGATTATTCACATCAGGTAGCGGACCTACAAAGCGTGTTACAGTCAATATATTGTTGCCGGGCGTGGTGTGCGATTTCCAGCCACTGAGATTCTAGTCAAAACAAGACACTTCTTGATGACGATGACTTACTTAAACTGTATCTGCATTAGTATCCATTGACGTTTATATTTTGGGCAGTATCCGGAGAACATTCCAAACTTTGTATAACATGAAGTGGAAATAAATACATAAAAAAATATATAGTTTTGCAATGTTCGGTTTTTCTCTTGCCGGTCCTTTACTTATCTCCCAAAGCTTAGACAGCCATAACTTAGACACAAATGAAGGGGATTAACTAAGACAACACCCATGGCTCAAATGGAACAGTCCTAATTAGTGTTCCCTGCTGAGTAGACCTAGCTTGTAATCAGAAATAAATGATATGAACTGTACACGCGGGATTAAGTTTAAAGATGCATACTATGTTTTCATTTGAATATCTCCTCACAATATGAAAGGGGTCAACTGTTCTGATACCTTAAGTGGAGTACCTCTGAAATAAATAGAACAATTGAAACTGTAAAGTATGTGTAAATCGCATTACATTAATGTCAGATATAAAAAGTCCTGCCCCAGATTAGGTCAGTATGGCAATATGGCCATACTGACGGGTATCTGTACAAGAGGAACAAAGTGAGGCAGACCTGCACACACTGGCGAAGTGTCGCCACTGCCTGTGCTGGCAAGTACATACAAGTGCACCACAGTAGGTGACTATTGCCGGAATGTTAGTGACCACATTCATCCCCCTGAAGCTGCTGACAAGATCAAGTTCGTCACAGCGAATCGAGGACTTCAAGGACTACATGGTGAGCACCTGGATCGACTACGATGCGCGATTCCCCCTTGCCCTATGGAACCACCATGAGACTCAAGGCCCAAGAACGAACAACAATTTGGAAGGATTTCATAACAGAATGAACTGCACCCTGCCGCACCGACATCCTAACATCTCCTGGTTCATCGGAATTATCAGGAGAATAGAGAATGCTCATAGAGCTAAGCTGTCGCAGTTAACTTTCGGAGCAGCCCCACCCAGCATAAAGATAATCTACCGCGAGATTGACAACAGATTGGAACGACTCGAGCAGCAGCAGTGTAAATCATGACATGACTAGTTCCACACTGCCATCTGTATTTGTATTAGTATTAATTGATGTTTGCATTTTGGAAAGTATCCGGAGAAAATTCTAAACTTTTTATAACATGAAGTGGAAATTGATACAGAAAAAAGTATTTTGTTGTTGCAATGTTCGGATTTTCTCTTGCCGGTCCTGTACTTGAAACCATCACCATCCAGAGGCACAGGAAACAATTTGTAATCAACACTTGTTCGTTCGCCATCTCTAATATGATGGCGATGACAGAGAGATGGACATTTGTTGGCAAGTTGTGTGTTGATGAGCTCGTGATGTTCATAGCAATGGCAAACTGGATGTAGTCTGGATGTACGTTTTCGAGCTTGAGTATGATTCACATAACTTTGGCCAGTTTACAATTTGTACTCTGTATGTACGTTTTTGGACTGAAATATGGTTCACATATTTTTTAGTCTGGCTGTGCGTTTGACATATCGAATGTGATGGACATAACTTTTTTCAAATTATATCCATTTAGATTATGTTAAAAGGGCCAAGCCACACGAAGCGATCTTAGCGATTGGAATGATTGTAACTGTCTTACTATAGTTTTCAATAATAGGATCCATAAGGTTTTCTTCGTTAATCAGAGAACATTTCATTGTCACAGCATTACATATCTTATTGTATATATTTTATTGTCTAAAATCCCCTGTATTAGGGAAATACCTTCATTTAAGCACAAAACACATTTAAGTATCTCTGCATTGATCTAATTCCGTGCATACAGTGAACTCTCGTTAATCCGAAAACCTAGCTTCCGGACGATTAATGTTATTTCATTTTATTTTTCAAATCCTTTTTGTTCACCTCATATTACTACCATTCTGTAATTGGGAAACTTGCTAATCCGGGCGCTAATTTTGGGTAAGCTTCAGAATAATCCCCTATCACACTTTTGGACAGTAAGAAATTACGTGTGTAAAGCCCCTGTCACACTTTTAGACAGTAGGAAATACGTGTGTAAAGCCCCTGTCACACTTTTGTACAGCAAGAAATACGTGTGTAAAGCCCCTGTCATACATTTGGACAGTAAGAAATACGTGTGTAAAGCCCCTGTCACGCTTTTATACAGTGGAAATACGGGTGAAAAGCCGCCTGTCACACTTTTTTACAGTAAGAAATACGTAAGTAAAGCCCCTGTCACATTTTGTACAGTACGAAATACGTGTGTAAAGCCCCTGTCATACATTGGACAGTAAGAAATACGTGTGTAAAGCCCCTGTCACACTTTTCTACAGTGGGAAATACGTGTGTAAAGCCCCTGTCACGTTTTTGCACAGTACGAATTACGTGTGTAAAGCCCCTGTCACACTTTTGGACATTAAGAAATACGTGTGTAAAGTCCCTGTCACACTTTTCGACAGTGAGATGTGTGAATATAGCTTAGGGAATAAAGCATCAATTTCAGTCGACTCAACTGTCAGACTCAAAGTAAGCCTTGTGTGTGTCGATGTATTTATTGGATATTTTGGACAGCGGCAGGTCATGTGTGTTTTTGTTTTGATGTATTGTATGTCACGTGTCTTTTTGATGTGTTAATAACGGTTAGTGGATACTGTATTCAGTCAACCTTTAGTGTGTATGTTTTGTGATTACATGTTGAGCGAGAGCCGGGTGTGATGCAAGGTTGAGTGATTTTATGAGATCTAGTGCATGTGTATATCGATCTAACAAAAGGGTTATTGCACAACTGGTTTGCCGTGTATGCGAATGTGGGGGATAAAAGCATTTGTAATGCCAGTCAATACCTCTGACAGATGTCATGCATGTAGGAGCATTGTACTTATTTGCCATGTCTTGTTTAAACCTGTCACGTAAAGCACTCATTGCCAAAATGTCAGGTGGTAGGGCGGCCCAGTGGTTTAAGCATCCGCTTGTCGCTCTGAAGACCTGGGTTCGATTCTCCACTTATATTGCTGGAATATTACCAAAAGCAGCGTAAAACTAGGCTCACTCATTTATTGAAGGGCACATGTACTGTTACCGGGGTCAATCTGTATATGGAAGTCTGCATGCTGGCTAAGATGTATATACATTTTTGCTACATCTATCTGTATATACATATCCTGTACACATGATTCTGTACCCCGTGTGGCCCGCATATAATAAAATATTCAGTTCATTTCGGTTCAGTTCAGCTCAGTCACTTGTATTTCGGTCAAAGCATCTGCACTATTCCTTTGCAACACAATTTCGGTAAAAGGGATAAAAGCTACGCTGACCATCGTTCACTGGACACGTTCAATCTGCAAAAAATGATTTGGGGATGGAACACCAGTGCAAAACTTGTTTTATGTATTACAGCGCTTAGTGTAAACATATTTTGTCTCAAACAAGATGTACATGTAACTCAGGTTGGAGTACTTGTCAAACTCCACAGATCCATGCTCTCGATATAGTTTAATGTCAAGGTATGTCCCATTGCATTACTGAAGACAAATTGAAGGCTCTTGGCAAATAGAGCAATAAATCCATAGCAGACGAAGTAATCAGTTCAAATAAAACAATAAATCTTCAAGAGAAATATAAAAATGAATGTACAAGGGAATTGTTTATTGATCAGGTAGTTGGCGTTAGTTTCTCTATAAAATAATGTCATCTTTGACACACAGTTTGCTCAGGTCAAGTTCATTGTATAGAAACGTAGTAATTCATTCTTTCTTTTCAATTTGAAACGCGAAATCTTTATAGTGGGTCGTCTTTTTCCTGGAGGAAAATATGAAAAAAAATGTCCCATCATTGATAAGAAAACAGAAAACACTGAGGTAATGTCACTGTGGTATATTTCTATTTAAATGTACTGGGTAGCAGTAGGTAGTACTGGGAGCTAGAGCATTTCAGTACCTACACATCTCGAGTATGGACAATATACATAGTATGTATTAGGTTTGCCCACATCATTTTTACGTAAATGATGTATGTTGTGCAACCGTTGCCAAAGAGAGGTCACGATTCTGTAAGTGTTATTGCTTGACTTGAATTCTACTGAAGAAAGCACCGCAGGACTCGCAGAATGGCGTCAGGCAGCAGTTGAGGCAGATGGTATACACCTTTCTATACATGATGCAGTTGATCTCACAAGCCTTAATCTGGGGTGTGTATTGCCAAATATGACCACAGGCAAGCATGGCATAACTCCAACCGTAGTAGAGACCGTACAGAGGTCCACACAGGGTCATCAGCATGTAGCAGCATTTGAAGGCGCAGTTGAAACATGTGTTGGTAAACTTCCAGCAGCAGTCGATGCTGTGGGCACCTTCGGGCTCAGCCAAGACATCCTCAAACTGGACCTGTCAGATGAACAGCAATTTAGTTTGAAAATAGGCCCAGAAGAGATTAGAACTGTAGAAGAGTTCGCGGATTGTGTTCCATAATGTTACAATGCATACTTCAATTATTTTTCTCTATGTCCTACAGAATCGCGTTTCTTTTATGATCGCCCATTGAAAATCAGAATGTGTTAGCATTGAAAGATACACAAACGAACCACATGAGCCGAATCGCCACCTTCGCCAAAACATCCATCATCTATTCTCTATTTATATGAACTGGACAACATTTCACAAAATATTGTTAAAAATATTTGTTGAATGAGTGTATCTATTAAATCATTTCAAAGAATCATTTGAACTTGCATTCGCTCATGCATTATAATACTTAGTGACACGCTTCAAACTGATTTCTGATGTTAAAAGACACAAACCGGCTGCGACGTATCAGCATTTGAAACTATGGCTACTGAATATTAACATCTACCCCTGCATAGCGGGCAGTTCAGACAGATCTTGTGGTGCAAGTGTATGTTTAAACGTATAAACGCTTATTCCTACCTGTAGAGAGGTTATACATAAAAAAGCACATTGAAGCAGATATAGCGGCTACACATTTAGACACCTTGCAAATCATCGTCAAATACAATGATTAGACCGGGAGCTGGGGGCATGCCCTTCCCTTTCTAAACCCCCGCCTTGGCACTGAAAATGTCCAACGACCACGCAGAAGTTCAATTTTAACCTGATATAAAAGCAAACTTTGCAAAGAGTGGATTTTGATACCTTCAAAATATAACTATCACTTTGGAAGTGAAGCCTTAACTATATACATCCTTAAGGACATGGCATGTGGCATACTTCGGCATGTTACGGTAATAACAGTGGATTCTTGGTTCACTACATTCCCCTTTATACAGGTGGCAGATATTCACAAACACCATTGTAACTACTCTTTACACGAGTAAATGTTTTGCCATGATAGGATTACCTTCAGATGGTCGTTGATGTTGTTGGGATCGCGGTTTTCCAAGTCAAGTTCTGCCATCCTTCTAAAGGAAACTACCAGTTCAGTCCCAAAGATAAAGTGTTGCGAGGTGAGTTAAAACTTACTTTATGTATATGTGTACATGACGACAGGTTCGTTGCCACAACTACCTTGCCACAATGTCATCATTTCTGAAGGTGTAGTAATGTTTTCCATTGGCCAGCAATAGTCACGTGGTGTTTTCCATCAAATATCACCACAAGATATTTTTTGCTGTGTCCATAATAGAAGACAGTGGTAATCTGAGCCCCATGGATAAAGACATTCACCTCCCTCATTTAACTGCTGACCACTCTTGCGTGAGCCATTGTGTTTTCAACTTTTTAACTTCATTTCATTAACCATGTGTGGCCCAGCCGTATTGTTTAGAGTTACACCCCATATGCATATCAGAAACCTATGGTAGTAGGCTAAGAAATGCATCACGGGGGCTTTGTTGCCAACACAGGCTGACATGTTTGATGTAACGGAACTTTTGTTTTGTAGAAGCATTGGACAATGCCCACTCGTTCATTTCAGGCCTACGCCTGGCGCTTAAGAACAACTGCACTGACGGAATACATTCAGGGAACTCTCCAAAATGCTGGCACACTATGTGTCCTTTTGGTTCCGTAGAATACGTCATGTTATTACCCCTGAAACACGTGTCACAGTATCGGGTATTCGTGACAATAATAGATTTTGCTCTAGATTACATTCATAAATCAGGTGAACCTAAGCAACGTCGAGCGCGGAGTTGTCTTGGATGGGTGACCGTGTTTGACAACTTGACTCCTGATAATAATAAATGTGCATTTGTAACGCGCCTTTTCCATGTACAGGGCACATGCTCAAAGTGCTGACATCTTACAATTATATACATATGTAGGGGGAGGGAAATATAGTTAGTTTTAATGAGAGGAAAACAGGAGGGTCTTCAGCAAGCGTTTGAATAGGGTAAGGTCTGCTGCTGGTTTTGTGGCCAAAGGAAAAGAGTTCCACAGTAGAGGGGAAGGACAAGCAAAGGATTTCCTTCCAAATGTTTTAGGTTTATAGTGAGGTACAGAGAATAAGTTCTGATTTTCACAGCGGAGCTGTCTTTCAGGGATGTAAGGGATAAGGAGTTCCTGTGGGTATTCTGGACTTGCGGCATGGAGACATTGGTAAACAAAACACAACAATTTAAATTCAATTCTTGATTTGACAGGAAGCCAGTGCAGGTATTTCATGACAGGTGTGATATGAGAATGTTTAGAAGTTCTGCTGATGATTCTGGCGGCTGTTTTTGGTCATGCTGCAGCTTTGAGAGGAGCTTCTGTGAGATATCAAAAAGGAGACTATTGCAGTAATCGAGTCTTGAGATAACAAGTCCCTGAACAAGACTATGTGCTGCGTCGCGACTGATGAGATGGCGTAGTCTGTCAATGGCTCTCAAATGGAAGAAGCATATTCTGTACACTTGATAGGCATGAGCGTTTATGGTCAGCTGTGAGTCCAGCATTACTTCGAGATCTTTAACTGAAACGACTGGTTGTATCTCAGAGTCAGTTACCAAGATTGTGCTGAGGCTGAAACTCCTAAGAGTGCTGAGGCTGAAACTCCTAAGAGTGCTGAGCTTGAAGCTCCTAAGAGTGCTGAGGTTGAAACTCCTATCAGTTTCAAGGACTTCAGTCCTACCCCACAACGAAGCACGTGTGATGCATGTGGTGTCACCTTCGGCAAGTGAATTTGTTCAAACTTGCCTCACCGAGCAGAAAGTGGGTACCGGTGGGATAAGTCAAGTGACTAATATCCTTCTTGCGCCTCACAGGCCGCTTCGGTTATTCATTGAAATAATGATCAGATTGTGATTTCAGCGCCGTTGAGCAGCGCATGATGGAAACTAGATGCTATACAAATCCATTATTATTATTGTTATTTAACCGTGACTTCTAAAATAATAATAATAGTCTATTTATCATGCGCATTTCTCCATGCACAATGCATGCTCGAAGCGCCCAAACAATCTGATTATTATTACCCTGGATAACCCAAGCTGCCTGTGAAGCGCTAGGAGGTTACTGGTTACATGACATCCAGCCGGGTACCCATTTTCTGCTGGGTGAACAGAGGCAATTTTGAACAAACTCACTTGCCTAAGGTGACACCACATGTTTCATGTGCTTCGTTGTGGGGTAGGACTGAAGTCCTAGAAACCCCCAGGAGTCATGTTGTCAAACACGGTCACCCATCCAAAGACTTTCCGCACCCAACGTTCCTTAACTTCAACTGATTTGTGGCCTGAGCTCTATGCACAGGACCACACACCACATGGCTGTTGTATTATATTGTTGATTCCGGACACATCAACTGGCTATTTACTATTGTAGTTTATCAAATATCAGTTAACGACTATCTATGACGTAACTGTTCATCCATACGTGTAGTTGATATGATCAGGCCGTGTCTGTTGCCTGTTTGTCAAAGTAAATTATTGTACTGGCTGAGAGTTGGAATTAATAAGTCAAGTCAATGTTTGGGCACGATCCATCAATTAAGGGCGATGCAACTTAGAGTGGCCCTTTAATTCACTGATTGTGGATTCAAATCACAGTCTCAACCTTCGTGTTTCTCAAAGAATAATGATAGCACCCAGCTAAAAGTGTGACCTTATGCCAATAACAGCCTGCGTGAAGCCTGTGGAGACCAACTGAAATAGCATGTTGATGCCACAAGCTTTACATACTTTCAGGAAAAGAAGACATACAGTTTCAGGGCAATCAGGCAAATTGTTCATCAATGCAAAACACCGAAAAAGTGCAAGCAACAGACGAAATGAGACCAGGTAATCAAACATTAAGAGTTCAAAAGGGATTCAGTTGCTTTCAAGTAAAAGTAAAAGTATATCCTCATAATAGGCAATAACCCACAACAAACAACTAATTGTATAATTTGCATAGAAAGTTTATTGATTTTAAAAGATTGCAATACTAAAAGTGTACAAGATTATACTGTGCTGTGTATGTTGTCATCATGGTCTTTGAAGACATCAGAGCACCATACCTTTGTCCTGTAGTTTTCGAAAGGCAAAATATAAACATAGTGTACATAATCTCCAGGTCGAAACAAATAGCGATAAATCTTGTCTTGGGTTAAACAACTGAATACATAGTTTCAAAGTAACGCTTCCTAAGTTACTGCATTAAGATTGTACTCGATATCAGAACATGACCATATATGATACTTGAAATGTGTGATTTATCCGGATCAGCGTCCCATACATGCTATACATAGTGAAGCGTAAGGGTATGGTCTTTGTGTTATTGTTTGACTTGAATCCTACTGAAGAAGGCACCGCAGGACTCGCAGAATGGCGTTAGGAAGCAGTTGAGGCAGATGGTGTACACCTTTTTATACATGATGCAGTTGATCTCGCAAGCTCTGATCTGGGGCGTGTACTGCCAGATGTGAGCACAGGCAAGCATGGCGTAACTGCAACCGTAGTGGAGACCGTACAGAGGTCCACACAGGGTCATCAGCATGTAGCAGCATTTGAAGGCGCAGTTGAAGCATGTATTGGTGCACTTCCAGCAACAGTCAATGCTGTGGGCACCTTCGGGCTCAGCCAAGACATCCTCAAACTGAACCTGAAACAAGCCAAACTGTAACTGACTTTGTGGGAAAAAAACGTACCTTAACGAACCTCCAAAGGTCTCCAAACTAGACCAGTATTTGACAAAGTAGGAAACGTTAATTAGTTGTAGCTATTGACTCATATGATATGTGAACGTTACATTACCTGTGAACTCAATTTGTGGCCGTGACAATTATAACAAAAGTTATGTTGGAATAATGTCGCGGTAAAACCAAAATCATGTCAAAGAAATGGTAAATACCCCTTTCAGTCGCACTTTCTTACTCACTTTATATGTAAACGTATTTTAGTAGACATTCTGAAATTATTGAGTGAGTGATGGACGTGGGTTTTTTTAAAAAACAAGTGAATTCTTTACTCATTAACACCTCACTGCCTGGTTCTTCATCGAACGCTTGGAGACACATAAAAATATAGCTGAAAGGTGGTCACTCAAAACAATGCTATTTAATGCTGAAAAAGTTCAGTTTTTTAGCAAAAGTTGATGAACATGTATATTTCGGGAACAGATTCATATTTAGGTGCATAAATCCCAGCTCCCGATTTCCACCTGGTCCGACAGTGATGTGAATGTATAGTCGGATTGGCTTCACTTTGGCTTTTTTATAAGGTTGCGGTGATATTGTCATTCAGAGGTAACCTACGGTTAACTTTCTATAAAGAGTATTCACAGACAACATTAGTTCATTAAGCTAATCATAGATACATGCCATATTTGGGATTACATTTCCACAGTAAACTTGCACGGGTTCTGCGGCGGGAGGTATGAATACACTATGCCATTAAGAGGTTTGCCGTAGGAGCCATGCCAGTTTATAGAGGGGTGCACAAGGTACCTGATCTGGCGGTTGGATGCCTGACTCTGAGAGTATAAGTTAGAATCTCCGATGTGATTCAACCTCCAAAAGTACTACAATCTGTACTTTACTTAGGAAGTAATCCAAATATAACGTATGTTACATTTGAGCACTTTCTAAATGACACAGTGTATTCATAATCAGAGATATATGCTTCAATCCTCTAAAGGCTACATACTATTCTTTAGATGAAAGCGATTCGAGAAATCCGGATTGATGTAAATATATAAACGTCGAAGATTAGAACAGATAGGATTACCTTCAAATGGTCATTGATGTTGTTGGGATCTCGGTTTTCCAAATCAATATCGCCCATTTTGTAACAGTAGCCTTGTCTAACAGTACTTTACAGCAGCAGAATCTACTAATGTCCACCCGGCACCGTCCAAAACTCAAGTGAGACAACCTGTTGTGCGATAAACACTTTATAATACTTACTTAACTACGGGGTCTACAATGTCAAAATAATATACCATACATATCTATCTTGCATTGGTCACAAAAGGCACATGTTTTTCTAGTGGACACGTGATGTGTCTTCAGCAGATATGTACTCTTACAGATTAAATCTTTATGAAAGCGATGAATAGTGAACCTAAGGTAAGTCTTACCTTCTACACAGAGCCATTCATTCCAAGGCTTTCAGTGAGGAATTAAATAGGGTCTGGTCTTATGTCATTCAAATGCCGCTTGTTTCAGGCTGATACCGATCACCCGACTACAGCTACCTTGAATATTACCCATCAAAAATCGACTTTAAAACAGTTTTAAGAAACAGTATGGGGACCTGTCACAAATAACCCAAGTCTATTTGTTTCTCCAAGGAAGAGTCCAGCAACGCCTAGTCCGCCGCAAGTCAAATATGTTCAAAGCCTATTTTTGGTCGAGTTGCTTTGCTTAGTATCCTTTCACACGTCACAATGCCCTGCTACACAATTGTGAGTGTGTGCGCATGTGTTATAATCACTATTTGAATTGATACAAGAATAATGTATTGAAGAAACGTGTGTCGTCAGCAGGATTCATATGTGCAGAAGGCCGCTCCCAAAACTAACAATGTAGTCTTTTGTCATAGATGAAAGACAGAAAGGCCTCGGGGTTGGGTTTTACCCCAGCTTTTGCAGTATTCTAGTCATATCATCTGGATGACAACAATATAATTTCTTAAATCGAGACTAAAAGTAATGTGTGAGTGATTTTTAAGATGTAGTATGCTACTCTTCAAGATTTATGTAGGTTATTGAAAGTAATTTGGTAGCCTTTATTGTAAAATAGACATACAGAAAAAGACAATGTTCTCATTATCATGGCATTGTTTGTCAACAATCGGAAGAAAGTCGAAATAGTCGTACGTGTTTCACTTAACTAGCTTTAGTTTGTACTGAAGGAACTGGATACTCGACTCCTCGTTGGCAATTACATGCCAAAGTTAACACATACAGGCAATAAGTCTCCAAGAACAGTGTAGTGGTGGGAGTGTTGGGTGGCTCGGAATGAAACAGTTTCTCAGTTTTTGTCCAAAAGCGGTCACCAGGAAGTTTAAATGATATTTGAGCGAGTGAATTAGTCTAAGCAATATTCCAGCATCATCACGGCGGGGGACACCAGAAACGGGCTTCACACAATGTTCCCATGTGGGGAATCGAAACCGGGTCTTCGGCGTGACTACCCCACTGTGCTACCCCACCGCCCCAAATAACACTTTAGGTGCTTAATAAACAGCTTTAGGTATCAGCTCTAAATCATATGCAGATTTTACGTCTCTGCTGTCTCGTCATTTCAGCACTGTTATGATTGTCTCAAATCATATCTATTATCTTATCTTATTCATTGCTTGTTTTCGAGTATCGTCGAACAATGATGTTTTAACATATTTCTTTGCAAAAAGAACGACAAAACTCTAAGAGCAGTCGAGCAGAGATTATATCATCAGCATGTATTTATGAATCACTATGAAGTGAGGGAAATCCTGGAGGGGAAAAATAAGTGAGGGAATCCTGCTTTTAAAATGTTCTGTATCTTTTGGTTATACTCCATCATACAACCAAAAGGTTGCTTGATAGCGGTAACAACATTCAACATTATGGTGTATTCAGAGGACGCTTCCGAATTTGACAAACGACGGAATTATCATTTAATGCAACGCCCCATTTCTACTTGTATGACACTCGTGAAGATCCGGGTTAGAACTGATCTCCAGTAACCCATGCTTGTGGTAAGAGGCGACTAACGGGATCAACGGTGTGCATGAGCATCGACCTACGCAATAGGGATACGATGACGTCAACATGTCATCGTATCCCAATTGCGTAGGTCGATGCTCATGCTGGTGATCACTGGATTGTGTGGTCCAGACTCGATTATTTACAGATCGCCGCCATATGACTGGAATATTGCTGAGTGCGGGGTAAAACTAACTTCCCTCACTCACTCTAGTATGACTAGTATGTATTTTCATATGAACAACTGACTTGCTGTCACTGGTGGAGCAGGATTCGCTCACCTTTTCACGAACACCTGTTATCATAACTATATAATAGGCATTTATAAAATATCTGAATATGACAGTATCAACAGCATAAATAGACTTGTTTATTGTTTTATACATGGATGTTGCCGCTTGTATTTTGAGCACTGTAGTTCTAACTAAAATATATAAGTGCTTTCTGTAGTCTGTCTTCGTCCATTGAAGTAGTGTTACAAATTACGTTTCATTAGATTTGCATGTTGCCTCATATAAGGTGATTGTAAGCGGTATTCTAAAAATGATGGCCAGGGTACATGCCTTAATACATGAATGAGTGAGTATGGTTTTAGGCTGCGAGGGACACCAGAAGTGAGCTTCACACATTGTACCCATGTGGGCAATCCAACCCGGGTCTTTGGCGTGAAGAGCGAACGCTTTAACCACTAGCCTGCCCCACCCCACCTTCCCCCTTAATAAATGACCATGAGGATTGTCATGCGTCCTTTAACATTCAATCAGTTAAACTATCACACATCAATCATCACATTCATTTTTATAAACGGTAAATTGCATGTATTTCATCGTAGTAGAATGAGATGAAACAAGCTAAAGAACAAACAAACAATAATTATATTGTATAAAAGACGGTTTATTGATCACAGTAATGCAAACGTGAATATGTACACCATAATACTTTGTTCTCCTCCATATAGAATGTTGAGATCAAGTTCTTTGTACACAAATAAAGAAACCAGAATTATGTCCTTGGTACCTTCCACAGGCGAAATATAACAGAAGGTCCTGAGTATCCGAGACGAAAGTTAGAAAGAAGATAACACGTTTAGAGTTGGTTAGACAGTTTACTGGTTGTTTCTCCTGCCGTAACACGTGGAGAAACTTGTGCACACTTGGTAGTTATTTACGAAATATTTCCATGGTAGACAGTATCAAGTATTCCCATAAAAGGCAATATGTGTGCTAATGTCATCCAGGTAAGTCTTACACTGATTTTTCTTGGTGTAAGAATGTCAGGAAAGGTCAAGATGGTGTCAATGTGTTATTGTTTGACTTGTATCCTGCTGAAGATGGCACCACAGGACTCGCAACATGGCGTCAGGCAGCAGTTGAGGCAGATGGTGTACACCTTCCTCATCATGACACAGTTGATCTCGCAAGCCTTAATCTGGGGTGTGTATTGCCAGATGTGAGCACAGGCAAGCATGGCGTAACTCCAACCGTAATAGAGACCGTACAGAGGTCCACACAGGGTCATCAGCATGTAGCAGCATTTGAAGGCGCAGTTGAAGCATTTGTTGGTAAACTTCCAGCAACAGTCAATGCTGTGGGCACCTTCGGGCTCAGCCAAGACATCCTCAAACTGGACCTGTAATTTCAAGATAAGGAAACGTTAGTTGGAACGCATTCAGTTGTCTGGTGTGTGAATTTTACACTAACTGGAATTTGTAATAATTTTATCATAGAGTGTATTGTAATCATATGAAACGTCTTTAAATACTTATTTACGAATCATGGAGCTTTCTTCAAAATGTATATATACCGGGGAAAACAAATAAAGGAACACCACTTCATGGCAGTGTTCTGTTATATATTCTCAGATTTCCTCCCATAGCACTATTCCTGTGGTCCTTTTTTTTTGTTTCTCTCAGTATATTTAGTATTTTTCCAAAGTCATTGTGATCACGAAAGCACATATTCCACAAAAAGAAGAAGAAACGAGCCTGCACGACTCTTAATGCTTCATTACAAATAGCCCATTAAATAGAAATTGTATATTTTCTAACTTTGTTTGAAATTTTCTATCTTGCCAACACACATATCAAACAATTTTGGGCTGCATTTTTACAAGTGTAATTAAACATTGTCATGCGTTCGTATGTTCACGAGCCTCGCACAAGATATTACCCGTAATAATTTTTCCTGTTGTCACCCTCCTGGGAAGGTGACACGGAAACTTGTTAAACCGTCATCGACCAATGAAATTAAAGTATTTTACATGAAGGTAAGATAAGACAAAGTATGTGTAATCAATTAATTAATCTTCTTAATTTATAGGTAAATATTTACATAATGTATGTAAGATATTCCCAGTATGAGAACTGGCTGATTTACCTTCAAATGGTCGTTGATATTGTTGGGATCTCGGTTCTCCAGATCGATAGTAGATTGTTCTGCCATTTTGAATCAAGTTGACTTTGTTCAGGTGTGGTATGGTTCCTGCTACTCCCGCGCGCTATACCAGCCAAAGTGTCGTAACTCGTAATATGGCTTCCTATATGTATATGTTTACATAGTTACACGATCGTATACTCACTCTAAGGTAATTGGTCTACTGTGGTCATGTGGTCGACTGTCATAAACACCACATGTCCCTAGGAGTCACCCATATTTTCGGGCATTGAAATCTCAGTGTTTGTTCTTTTATTGATGACGGTGGTTGCTGCGGTGCCTCATAAATAGAGTCATTCACTTTCCACGCCGAATTGCTATTTTATTGAAGACCCTTGTGTGGGCCTTTGAATAAACCTGACAGTTTCCATTGTACCTATTCGAAAGGGTTTTCAACACATCCGCTGGGTTACGTTCTTGTGAGCCTATGTTCCAGCTCAAGTAAATCAATTTTACACATTGATTAGTGAGGCCTCCCCTCTTTCATCAAACAATCGAACTTTTAAAATATTATCTTACAAAGATCGAAAATGAATCTTGGATTTTTTAAATGTATGAATATATGTGTAAAAATATTAAGCGAATCTGATCTTTAACATGAAATCCTGACTGTCCAGTTATTTAATCAATGTGCTTCAAGTCGCAGTTTTCATCTTTAAAAAAGAATTGTGACAGAGTTTATGACCAAAGGTTCCACTGCGCTTACTCTTCAGTTTTGCCCTGACTATAGTTGATCCAAGTGAGTGAACGTGAATGATTGGGGTTTACACCTATTTGAATCATCGTATATCAGAACTAATACGCTGAGCTACTTGAAGTGATGTATGGTGTAGATTCTCAGTACTTCAGTGGGCGAAGACCGCGATTGTGAGTATATTGATATTACTCCAAATAGATAATAGTTACAAAAACTTGTCCACATCCTTACGAAATCTCTGCTTAATGTAGTGTCGTGTGTACGATTCCGACTATATGAGGGGCATATGTTTATAAATCACTATCAAATGGTGATAATACTAGATGTTTAAGAAAAGGGGAGCGTATACTGTGCCACGGGTGGCATCCATCATAAGCAAATGCAAAGACTAGTCAGTTTTCACCTGGAATTATACGGAAACATATGGTAGAAGTCAAAATAGGAAATCGCATCGAACATTACATTTGTCATTGTCTCCAGATTTGGAAATGTCCTCTACAGTCAACCATAATCTTTTTTGAAAGTTCACAATGATTAAACAATTGAAACAGCAGACGTCGACACCTAGACCTCTGGACTATACATTCCCATGTGGCCTGAAAAGGATCCATGTAGATTGGTTGTTTTTATTGTAACTGAATTTGTGACTACATTTGTAGTTACAATATTTTTGTGGTCACTATTTTAAGTTATATTCAAACATGCACTTTTTACCAATATTTCAAAGAGTTTCATACAACCTTTACTCAGAAATTGTTCGATCAAGGTTACAACACTCAAAGCCTCAATAAAGCTTTCAAAACGTATAATGACATGTTGTTTACTTTTTAGCATTTGACGCAGCAGTGGCAAAATGATGGCCGATGTAGTTCATTATTTTGTCTTCTACCATACTTCCCGATTTTTTTCATGTGAACAATTGACTAGTTTTCTCTGGATTATCTGCTCAAGGCTCGAATATTTACAGATCGCCGTCACATAACTATATTATTGCTGAGTGAGGCGTTAAACAAACATATTTCTTATGGAAGTGGAACGGGTTCTATTCCTTTTATTACCAGTCGTCTAAGGCTCCGTAATTCACTGCATAGCTGCATTCCATGAGCACACTAGAAATTTACGAGTATTGGTTTTCGATTCCGGCTCTCCTCAGTTATGTTTTTAACATTATATCCGTTGGTTTTCACCACATTGATAAACGGTTAGGCCTGACTCACGTCACAGTTTTGAATGATGGAACACTGAAAGATTTAAGGGATGTGACTTCTATACTGTAAATTGTAGCGCACAAGACCTTTCCATTTGTCTACGACATGGAAACTCTCAAAGAAATCCTTCATTAAAGGAATCAAAAGTAAAAATAAAAAAAGCATTGTATAACAAAAGAAGATTTATTCGTTGCAGAAGTTTCTGTACTATGTACAATACTAATTGGTGTTGTACTAATGGATACATCATGTTGAGATCAAGGTCCTTAAAAAAGTATAAAACAAACGCGACACTTGTATGAACTGACACGTCGACAGGCGTAATACATACAAAGAGGGGGGAGGGGGTACTGTTCTTTTTACTACATACATAACAAGTGAGCCTAAATATACAGTCGTTTGGAACACGGAGCAAGATATGTTTCAAGTTTCACTTCCAGAAATGTCAATTCATCAAATAAAGTATGTTCTTGATGGCAGAACATGGTAGTTCTCACTATTGCTTTGTGATCAAGAGAACAGACGCTGTAAAATATGCGCTTAAATTTACAGGATATTTTCATCCATTTATGCTTTACTTTGTTAAAGAATGTCATAGCTGTTCATGTTTTTATTTCTTACTATTTAATTCCCATTCACAGATATGTAGGCACAAAACAATGTTATTGTTTGACTTGAATCCTACTGAAGAAGGCACCGCAGGACTCGCAACATGGCGTCAGGAAGCAGTTGAGGCAGATGGTGTACACCTTCCTCATCATGATGCAGTTGATCTCGCAAGCTCTGATCTGGGGTGTGTACTGCCAAATATGAGCACAGGCAAGCATGGCGTAACTCCAACCGTAGTAGAGACCGTACAGAGGTCCACACAGGGTCATCAACATGTAGCAGCATTTGAAGGCGCAGTTGAAGCATGTGTTGGTGCACTTCCAACAGCAGTCAATGCTGTGGGCACCTTCGGGCTCAGCCAACACATCCTCAAACTGGACCTGTGGAACGGAAAGAAGAAAACGTTAGGTTTTCTGACCTGTAAACTCCACTTAGCGGCACTGCACTTATGATCCAGTTGAAAATATACCTTGTTTTATTTTCTGCAATACTGGTAATATATATTTTAGTCAGAAAACACCTTTGAACCTCACTTGTGATTCAGTAATTGGCCTATTAGCAAATGTGTGTACACTTTAATCATTGATCATCTATCTGCATGCCATCTCAATACATTATATTCTATTTCAGCACAATGAAATATATTATATTTCCAGTGTATTTCAAATTATGATTTTTGTGTTTTTGTCAGAAAAGTTTTAAACTAAAACTTTAAAAGCTATTCACAATTAATTCAAACAGCAACAGAGAACAATCCATTGAGATAACTATCTACCTAACAGATTCAGAAGATGAAAACTGGTGAAAACTATTTGAGTGAATCATTGCTGGAAATCAGGGATGACACCAGGTGTTGGCTGGGAAAGGTAACCATGTCCTTATCCACCAGCAGCACTCACTACCATTCCAACATTATTTTTAGAAAGATAGGTGATGGGGGTGAAGAGGTTGTCAATAGCCACACCCATTTACCAACCAAGCCTTTAAGTGATTGGTTTTGCCGAAATGATTCACGTATGCAATGTTAAAATCACGTTTTGGTAGGATAGGATTTCACTTACACTTAAAATCTTTTCAATGCAATTACATTTCTGAACAAATTCCGTTTTATGCCATCGTTAGCAATATTCCAGTAGAAAGGATTTGGAATGAGCCTCGTCTGGCCAATCTCTATCAATTTTACATAATATCAGTTCTGAAGACCGATGTAGCTTATGATTACACAATGCCATTTAGAAAGTGGTGAAATGTAACATATGTTATATTTGGGATAACACTTTCTTAGTGAAGTATAAATTCTAGTACATTTTGGGGTTGAGTCCCATCCGGGCTTCGAACCCACACCCTCAGAGTCAGGCACCCAAAAATATGCTCTTGCTGCATTTTTATCATCGAGACGTTGCACATATAGAAATGTATACCAGCTTTTCATTAAAAACAGATGTCGTCCATTATTAAATCCAGGTATAACGACTGCAAAGTACTACCGGGATAGCAAGTTTGTCAATCGATTATAAATTTGACGGTTTGGGAAATATTAACGAATAATATTTTTACCTTTAAGTGGTCATTGATATTGTTGGGATCTCGGTTCTCCAAATCGATGGATGATTCCATTTGTTTCGGCATTTTGGAGGGCTTTGTTTACAGGTGTTACCAGGGGGAAAGGTTAGGTTGCCGATAGACTGTCCGAACAGAAGTGGTGATACTTTGTGAGGACTTCTGTCGTCTACATGTTTACATAGTAACAGGGCCATTCAATGCCAAAACCTACGAATAAGATAATGGTCGTTCATTGGCCAGGTGTAGCCATGTGGTTTACCAATAAATATATATATCCTTTGTCCCCAGTATGTTTCAGACATTGCCGAATGTCTGTGCGTAGGTCTTGTTCCAGTGGGTGGTTTCGGTCTCGCTTTTATTTGGCCATTCCTCTCCTTACCGAATAGCTGGTGTATTGAAAACACTTGGTCGTCTTTTGAATACACTTGACATAGATCCTATTGTGCTCGCCTTAATTGATTATTCTGGATATATTTAGCCGCTCAGGGAAATCTTCACATATGATTTAGTGAATCTAGACCAGTATTCCCCTGGGTTGTTTGAGGTAGTTGATTTAATGACATTGCTTTGATTGAATCGTGCAAAAAAAGGAAATAATAGTGGCAAATCAATAAGGAAATAAAAACACCAATCAAAGAATTGATAAATATACTGATGAGAATATTATTCATGCTCTTGGATTTGTTATAAATCTGTACACTTCCTTAGTTTCATTGCATAATAAATAAACATGATACATTTCTACATAATCAAATGTCATGAGTTTACAAAATTTGTAATGCAATTAACATTTGGATATTGGTAGAAACACATCTCTAGATATTTTAATCGTTATTGATTTTACATTGAACACACAGATGAAAAGCGATATTCAACTTAATACAAACGTTTTACACTTCTACAAAGTATATGATAGGTTCATATGAAAATGAAAAAAGAACTTCTGTAAATTTACATTTGAGACATATGGCTCTGTTATCATAGTGGGGCGGTGGGGTAGCCTAGTGGTTAAAGCGTTGGCTCGTCACGCCGAAGACCCGGGTTCGAATCCCCACATGGGTACAATGTGTTAAGCCCATTTCTGGTGTCCCCCGCCGTGATGTTGCTGGAATATTGCTAAAAGTGGCGTAAAACCCAAAACTCAGTCAGTCAGTCAGTTATCATAGTAGTCTTAATCACTGAGCGAAGTCGTTTGCTTTCCTGAAACTGGACAAGAAACCATGCCATCACTGGATACTCCTATTTTTTCAATTCTTAAACGGTGCAACATGCTTTGTTTTGTTTGCACGTTGTTATAACCATGGAGCATCTGTTTGGCTTTACTTCATACGTTTGTCTTGATTATTATTTATCGACATACTTCTACCTAATGAGTTGTCACCTTCCATCTTAACGACACGGTGATTGTATTCTTACTGCATCTTAAAAATACTTTTCCACTTATTTCTCTATTAGAATTTAACTTTCTTAGCATTTTAGTAAACTGTGATGTCCTTTACTTGTTAATTACGTAGGTCATGCGACAGGGAAAAGACAGTTGGTCTTAAATAGACCTTCTTTTCACTGAACTTTCAGTGCACTGGACCCGTGAAGATCCGGGTTAGAATTGGTCTTCAGCAACACCTGCTTGTCGTTAGAGGCGACTAACGGGATCGAATGGTCAGTTCCGCTGATTGGTTAATACATGTGATCGGTTCCCAATTGCGTAGGTCGATGCTCACGCTGTTGACCACTGGATTGTCTGATCCAGATTCGATTATTTACAGGCCACCGCTATATAGCTGGAATATTGCGCCGTTAAACAACCAACAAACAAACCAAACAACTTTCAGTGTACTGATTAGGATTTTTGTTAAACTGTGAAATCTATAACCTACATTTGACTTGTAGATCGGCAATGACATAAGTCTGTTATCTTCTGCTTAACAAGAAAATATACTGCCATGAGATTGAGTACTGGATGTCAAAACTTGTTTCATCAAGGTTAGTAAAGCTTTCAAAACGTGTTATTTTCCAAAATTTATGACCGATGTAGTTTTCTATTTTGATGTGTACTTCGTCTTCAAGGGTTGTTTTTCAATGTGAAGGTGCAAACTGTGGAGCAGTGTCAGCTGACTTTTTGGCGAAAACCTGTTCAATAGTGTATTCATAAATACACGCTCATGATAATCGGAATCGTTCATACAGTTCTGCTTTTGACAGTGTCCCTTATGAAAGTGACGGGGCGTTTGTCGCTTTCATTAACGCCATTTTCCATCACTGTCATCGAGGAGGAAACCAATATTGAGCGAAATAGAATAATAACGACGCTATCAACATATAATGCAAGTTTAGAATCACATTCAAGACAATAAATGCCTGTACACTACGTTGAATGTGTTATACGTTTACTTCAGTCGCCATAGTGCATTTATGACTACCGTCCGTATTGTGGTTGGACGGATTGCGGCTGTGACACTTCCTGGGCTGTTGCTTTCAAACAAAGCATAGATCTTCATCAAATAATCACTTGCTAAAAACAAAGAAAGTGTTTTACAAAAGACGGTTTATTGATCCAAAATCTGGATATGAATATGTACAATATAACACATGTCCAATGTACACATATGAAGACGTTGGACGTGACATTCTGGTCCTGTGTTTCTTCGGCAAGCGGAATATGAACTCGTGACTACATAGAAATACATTTGTATATTATTTCATGAGAGTTTAGACAGTCGAAAAGGGGAGGTTCAAGTTTCCTCTACAAAATATCACCGAAAGACATGTTGACGAGGCTTGATGTCTCACATCAATGTTTGCCTTCGGATTCACCCAAAATCCAATTGTTCATTGTGTCCCGAATATCTATTGCAAGGGGTGCAAGACTCATCGGAATAAGATGACACTAATACTTTACGTTGGGTAAGAATGGCCTGACAGTTCAGTATAGTCCCTGTGTTACTGTTTGACTTGAATCCTACTGAAGAAGGCACCGCAGGACTCGCAGAATGGCGTCAGGCAGCAGTTGAGGCAGATGGTGTACAATTTCCTCATCATGACACAGTTGATCTCACAAGCCTTAATCTGGGGTGTGTATTGCCAAATATGAGCACAGGCAAGCATGGCATAACTCCAACCGTAGTAGAGACCGTACAGAGGTCCACACAGGGTCATCAGCATGTAGCAGCATTTGAAGGCGCAGTTGAAGCATGTGTTGGTAAACTTCCAGCAGCAGTCAATGCTGTGGGCACCTTCGGGCTCAGCCAAGACATCCTCAAACTGGACCTGTGGAACGGAAAGAAGGAAACGTTAGATGGAATGCATTTTCATGTTATATGGACAACTCTCTTGATACTGGTTTGTGAAATGATCTTTTGATCCAGTAATTCATAATTGTGCAGAAATACATATCTGTTAATTTGTCCATGTCGTTTCATTATCATAAGTAGCTAAATTTAGTTTGCTTGAGAACATAACGTGCAATATTTTATCCAATATATACTTGAATTTATTTTTGAATACTGCCATACATCGTTTACAATTGGCATAGCTTATAGATTTAAAAAGAGAGTAGAAACAATAGATCACATGACACAGTGAGGAAGAAGGAACTGGCAGGGATTTCACTTTGAATTTCTTATGCAAAAGATTTACGACAATGACAAGAGAGAAATGTATTTGACATTGTATCACGATTTTTAATAGACGAGTGGCACATTCATCTGAGATTTAGCAACTCCATTATTTCTAACTGAAATATCGTTTACCAAATCGATTGATCAAACATTAAGCTCAGAAGGACATATGCAGGGATGTTGGAATGTTGTCATATAATTACATGTACCTCAACCCGTGAAAATACAGGTCGTATGATACGACTAACGGGATCGGGTGGTCAGGTTCGCTGACTTGGTTAACGTATGTGATCGTATCACAATAGCGCAGACCGAAGTTCATGATATCGATCACTGGATTGTCTAATCAGACTCGATTATTTACAGACCGCCGCCATAAAGCTAGAAAAAAATTTTGCGTACGGCGTAAAATAAGAAAGAAAGAAAGTACCTTCAAATGGTCGTTAATGTTGTTGGGATCTCGGTTGTCCAAATCGATGGTTGACTGTTCACCCATTTTGAAATCAGGTAACTTTGTTAGCAGGTGATACTTGAGAACAACCAAACCAGCTGCTTGCTGAGACTACTGTCAAAGGCACATTGTATCTGCGTCTGTCTCAGCGGTCATTATATCCATGTTTGCGTGGTTACGGAGAAACATTGTCGATTAATTCCAGAGTCAGTCAATGTCTGCACTCCATTGGTCGAAAAGGATCACGTGCCTCACGGACATGATCGTTAGGTATTTCTAACAGTTCATTTTTGGCAACTGGGATCTTTATTATTGTACCTCTAGGGACGACGAAATATATTTCTTTAGATTCAAATCTACATACAATCAATCTCATCATAAAACCTCTATTTTATATGCGGTTCTGAATGAATGGGGAAACTTATTGTTCTGGTTCGTTTGGCGCTTTCAGTCTCAGACAGCGGGCTTTATCCACGCCGGACTTTTATTGCAGCTGAACAAAACCTACATTGAAAATGATTTGGTGACACGGGTCATTTAAGTATCACTCATTTTGTGGGTAGTGTTTCAAGACGGATCTAATATGAGTAACAACGAAAGCATATTCATATCATCGAGTTTCATCGAAGTGATATCGGCCCTATTTTAACGTTACTGTCAGTTTCTATCAGGGGTTACCTATACAAAAGGCTAAATAAAATGTGCGAATATGCACTTGAGGAAATTTCGTATATAAACCATACTACGAAAGAAATCAACGGCTACGAAGATGTTTGGTCATGTTCTGAAAAGAATGATCGTTTGACGTTTTAGCCAAATTATCCAGATGTGACTAGGTCTTGACTAGACAAGCCAGTGATTGACATCATGATCGCATATGTTCTATAGTATGATGATACACAAACAATTAGATATGCAATAAAGGTAATCTCATCAGATGATCGTTGTTATTTCAACCACACAGATTACGCGATCCTGATAGATCAAGATCAGAACTGTTATGCTCTGGATATCAAGTTATCGGTTACCCTTGTTCTATCCAAGGAAACTTTTCACAATATTCCCACAATAGTTATACTTTAGTATTAGCGTGTACTTGGGGGTACTTTTGTTAATCAATACATACCAACTGAATTGGTGAAGTCTCTGTCTTAACTAAATTTTGGAACTCTATAATTTCAATTTGAACGCCATGTGTAAAATGTGTAAAGCGTACCCGTACCTCCAAGTCCAGGTTCTGTAAACCTATGTATATCAAATGGGATATCCAAGGGATATAAAAAAGCAACTATTTTGTGGTAACTGTATTAAAACTGACAATTGGCTAAATTACTTTCCACTTGAACCTTCCTTTAGAATGCAATCCAAGGCAGGCGGATATGGTTATGACCTGTACACAATATGTCACCTTGTCTCACATTCAAGTTTCCATGGAATGAACAAGGCTTATTCATATAACGTTAGAATGGAATGGTCCGCAATATGATTGATGTTGTGAGTGGACGAATAGTTTTCATCGTGGGTCATCCTTCGTCGGGTCGTCGCAACAAATTTCAACACAACTGATTGCGCATCTTATTTCACACAGAATACACTGTCTGAAAGACACAAATGGCATGTTGTCTACAAATGTGGATACCATTAAGAATGTGGAAACTTAAAAAGTATTTAAGACTGCTTTGCAGGTATAAAGTTTCTCATTCGTTTTTGCGTGTACATTTCATAACATGCCCTTTGTCCACTGCAACTTTCCAATGCAGCTGGAAGGGATACTCACTCAACTGCTGCTGCCTAACTAGGACAGTGTGTGACCATGTCGCTATGTAATTAGATTTATTATTCATTGCTAGACTAATCTAGATGATACAACGTGAGTTAACTGAGAAGCAAATGTTTGCACACCCTGGTTTACACAGGACACGCACACTCGTGGACGGTGCAGGAGACGTGGTACATTACTCCAAGTGGTTTTTTCATGGGAACAGAATATATTTAAAGGTTGACAAAAACTTTGTTTTTTTCTCATCGAAGGATGTGGTTGGGTGTTCCACTCTTCATAGCGCATTGAGCAGCCATTGTGGAATGTAATTCATTATATACCTTCAAGCTGATTTTGAATGTTTTCGTTTAAGTGATCGAATCTAAACTCATCAAGGGCAGACCACCTCAATAAGCATTTTCGTACGACATATAAAATAGTTCCAACTTGAGTGAGTGAGTGAGTTTAGTTTTACGCCGCACTCAGCAATATTCCAGCTATATGGCGGCGGCGTTCCAGCTTGAGAATCCAATGGGAAGTAAACACAAAAGAATATTTGATGCAAGCAACTGAAGAGGAATATATTCTTAACATACAGGAATAATATTTAGACCATAAGAAAATAAAATACATAAAGTTACGATAGTTAACGAATAGGAAAATAAAATATTTAAATGAAAAGTCACTTTGAAGAAGCTAATCAAATCTGGTCAGTCTTTCGTAAAGTTCATAATGTGTGTGTCATTAATAGAAACTATTCTAACTACATGTAGAGGATACAGTTTGAGACAATGTTTAAGAACACATCCTATTTCTATCTTATGACTGCTACCAACAGATCCCCACGATGTTGGCGACCTACGCCAAGGCATGGAGTTGAACTGACCATCGACTGATCGTTATGTTTACAAGTGACTGCCATCAAACCTTCGATTACATTAATTGTCTTGTTTCTCTGCTAATTTGATTTTTTATTTCATCTCCACTGTCAAGAAATTAGATTTTTTTAAATTATGACATTTAGACACAAATAAAGGGGAAAATCTGTGGATGTCAGTTTCTGGATTGCGAGGAACAAGACATTTTGGAATATATTCGTACATTTCCATTAAGAGATGAATTTTCACCTTTGTGCAATTATATTCTCTTTATAAATAGAGATCATGTATAATAAATGTTATGGTCGGTCGTCAGAAGGACGATAATTTGAACATCAGCACAACATTTTTGGGACTACAATCTAACGAAAAAACCGCAAAAGCCTAATGCGTCACTTTAGGTAGCAAAAATTAGGTTTTTTTTAAACGAAACATTTCGTCATTTCAGTTATTTAGTTTTTCCTATTTTTAATGTACGATTACTTCTTTTTCGTTTCTTCGATCATTACTCGTAATTATATTAATAATTTCCTTATTTCAAGTTTATTTTCACAACCTGAACATTCAAGACAATAATCGAATTTACGAGAATAAAGTTGCAGATGCGAGAATATAGTCGAAAGTTAAGCTTTTAAAAGAAACTTGAAATACTGATAAAATACATCGAAGTAGAGGGGATATCGTCGATTTTGTTTTGATTATTTTTAAATAATTGAAACTGTGGGAAAATAATTGAGGAAACGAAAAATTACTCGAATTTTGACATAATGACTGAAACAACGAGAAAATATTCGGGGCACAGAGAACAAGTGTGCAAGGTTTTGTATAAACTTGAAATATCGAAAATAAAGTAAGGAGGAAAATCGACGAAGAAATACAATTATTTGAAATATCGAGAAATTCCGTCTTAAAATATAAATTAAGCTACCAAAATGCCACCTCTGGAACCCAGGACAACCGATACTTTGCTTGTTGACCCTGCCATTCCGCAGTGCCCCCGTGTAAGGGGTCATTCTTCCTTTGCGGTTCCGGTTAGAATTGGTCATCAGCAACACATGCTTGTCGTAAGGGCGACTAACGGGATCGGGTTGTCAGGCTCGCTGTTGAGACATGGTCTAGCCTCCAAACAGCGTTGATAAATGTTCATGAAGTTAATCACTGGATTGTCTGGCATAGACACCATTATGTACGGACTGCAGTCATATTGCTGGAATGTTGCTCATTGTGGCGTTAAACAAATACAAACAAACAAATGTTGATTTTGAACGGTCGTCAAAAGCCCTAAGGATTTCATATTGTCGATTTTCTTTATCGGCGGTACCGTGTAAACTCTCCACGCTTGCTTCCAGTATAATTTGTGATCAGGCTGGGAGTTCATGGTCGATATAGTGATACTACATGAGGAATAATGACATAATTTAAACTAACAGAACACAGTTACATGTAACCTATATGTTGATATGTTTTGGCCTCTCATCTGCCGACTTTGGAACAGGCTTCGGCAGAAAGAATATGGTTCAACAACATACATTCTGTCCAGACGCCATTGGTGTTTAGAGAACTGGGGGATTGTCGATGTTCTCGTGTAAAGTCTTCAGATGAGTGCAGATTAGACCAACAACTAGTCTCTGAATTGAACATATTTTTTTTTAAAAAACAGTTCATAATAAAAAAAAGATAAAATATTATGAGAAGGAGACCTGTATGAAGCTCCCGAAGGGACATTTGCGTATCCCAAAAAATAAAATAACAATCTCGTTATAACGACTTATAATCTCATTATAACGACCTTTAAATGTCATAATAACGACTTTTAAATCTTGTAATAATGTCCTTACATTTTAAACATCACCATAGCTATTCACAGAACCACACACTAACCAAAGTGTCCTTACATTTTATACATCACCATAGCTAGTTCACAGTACCACACAGTAACCAAAGTGTCCTTACATTTTATACATCGCCATAGCTAGTTCACAGTACCACACAGTAACCAAAGTGTCCTTACATTTTATACATCACCATAGCTAGTTTTGATATGCAAATGTCCCTTGAGGAGCTTCGTAATCCTGAGACTTTCTTCATTTTTAGAAACTGGAAATCTAGACTTGCCACATAATCTAGACTTACATAGGCTGTCTTGGATATGTTTGTTTCAGGGTCTGTATGACAGACTAAGTGTAGATTCACACTTGATTTCTTCATAGACGCGTACTATCTGGAGCTACAAGGGAACTTCATGCGAATATCACTGAAAGCAACATGACGGATTTTGGTTAGAATTGGTCTTCAGCAACCCATGCTTGCAATAAAAATCGGATGGTCAGGCTCGCTTACTTTGTTGAGACGTGTCATCGTGTCCCAACTCCGTAGATAGATGCTCATGATGTTGATCTCTGGATTGTCTGGTCCAGACTTAATTATTTACAGACCGCCGCCATATAGCTGGAATATTGTCGAGTGCGGCGTTAAACAAAAAGCAAACGATTCAAGACGAAACCACATTTGTCCTTCTTGCATGTATCGTAACTGACCACCTCAAGCATTACCAGACATTGGTAAAAAACTACCAGACTGTAATAGCAAGCCACTATTCCTGTCCTCTCCCCATGATCGGGTCTTTGACATGGTCGAAGCCTTGTACACAGGCGTCAACGGTAGAACTTGGCCAGGCGCCACAAGAGGAGCAGGAAAGATTCCCTCATATTGTAATTGTGAGATTGATTCGGACTATGTTATTAACTGTTGTGCATGAACGACTGTTTCACCGGCTTCAAGACTTGGTTCATTTTATTAATCTTATCGACAACTCTGTCTTCTTTATGGCACTAATCGATAAACCACCAACATGTTTTTGTCGCGTTACACTTGGTCCACCATTTTCTTACTCACCCGTCACCATCCATCACCCGTCGATAACTCTTTGTATGAGTGTATGTATGTGTGCGCGTGCGTGTTCGTGTTTGTATGTACTATGAAATCGTAATAAATGGTCTGGGTGGGACTCTAACGATCTAAAGATTGTTTAGGTTTGTTTTGTCTTTGTGTGTTCTGACTTTAAAGTTTCCTTCAAAAAACACCATACTCCAGACAACACACATTTATAAGGATTTTTACTTGTGTATAGAAAGTTTGCATATTTGATGATAATACTCTAAATGTGCTGATATTCAAATTTCCATTCTAAGTATGTAAAGTCAAACCACCTATCAAAGAACAATTGTATAATTATGCATATTCAGTTGGATTCACACATTTTCTATGTTCAAACTGATTCAAATGTGTTTGTCGAAGGAAACGACAGAGAAGACTCTGACAAGTACTATTTGTACACACTGGGTTCCAAAGAGTAGAGGAAAGTTATCACAGTTTCTTGGGAAGGCAGTTTTCTCAGCCGGCGAGACAGAACTCAAGGAGTTGAGAGGATGTCCCTTCCATCCTCGTCCAACGGGAGCCTGAGCATTTTGACGTAGCGTCGCTTCTGAGACTGAAGGTTATTTGTTGGCGACGGCTATTTTACTGAAGCACAGACCACATGCTTCACATATTGGAGCCAGACAACAGTTCATGACGGAGCCGAAGAATTTCTGGTAGCATCCAAGATAGCTGCCGAACATCCTGAGGCAGGGTGTGTATTGCCAGATGTGTTGGAAGGACACCATGGCGAACTCGCATCCCCAGCAGAGAGACAGGGGAATAGCACAGATGAAGGTGAGGAAGGTGTAACAGCAGCTCTTGCTGCAGTTGAAACATTTATAGGAGTTACGCCAGACGCAATCTGCACTGTGGGCTCCCTCGGGCTCACCGATAACATCCTCGAACATCACCTGCAAGCAAGAGAAATAATATACTAGGCACATAAAGAAACTGTGCATACAAAAATTTAAAATCTAAATTTATCAAACCTGTGTAGACACATAAGGATTTAAACTCAGAGATTAGTGACATGTATCCAACATGCATGCACGTGCCACGTTCCGTGACGTCAGGGGGGTCGTCCTTGAGACGTGCAAAACGTTGTTGCATGTGCATTCCGGGAAAGAGAAACAGAGCAAATGAATGCCACACAATACTGTCACTTTGGAAAGCTCAACCCCTGCCCTTGCGATCGTTCAAAAAATTAAACGGCTATTGAAACGCATAGCATGCCAAGGCTCACGTCTGCACAACGTCACGAGGCCATTGGGATGGTCCGTGGGGGAATGTCTCAACGACAAGTGGCTGCACATTTCCACTGCCACCGGAACACCATTTCTGCACTGGTGAGACGCTACCAGAACACAAATGACGTCATAGATCGGCCACGTTCTGGACGTCCACGTGTAACAACGTTAAGACAGGACAGATGGATAAGGGTGACCCATCTTCGCCACAGGTTTCAGACCGCAGTGATGACTGCCCGAACCATCCCAGGACTTCGCCGTATCCACGTATCCAGTTCGACAACGTTTACGTCATCACGGGATCAGTCCACGACGTCCCGCCATAGGCCTATCCTGACACAACGTCATCGACAAGCTCGCCGAATGTGGTGCCGAAATCATGTCCGCAGACCCTTGTTTTGGTGGAGAAATGTTGTTTTTACAGATGAGTCCAGGTTTAACATTTCCCATAGTGATGGACGTAAACGTGCCTATACGCGTGGGAGAACGTTATGCACAGGCCTGTGTCTTTGGTGGTGGTATCTCTCCCCGATAGAGCATGTTTGGGACGAGATGGATCGAGATGGATCGACGTCTACGCCGTCTTCCTCATCCGCCAGATAACGTCCTTGGACCTTCCAACAGAACTTGAGAGAATCTGGCGTGACATCCCACAAGCCTTCCTTGCACGTTTGATAGGCTCTATGCGTCGTCGATGCACTGCTGTTCTCAATGCCGATGGTGGACATACCCGTTATTGAGCTTGTGACATGGTCGTTTGACCCCTGTCCCGCTTGTGGACTCGTGACGTCATTGTGATTGACTTTTCAATTGAAATTCTCCCGACTTGTTATGGTATCATGATCCCTCCATTAAAGTTTATATGTACCTTTGACATTGTTATCGTACTTATCAACTGGGATAATATTTTGACAATGCACAGTTTCTTTATGTGGCTAGTATATTTTGGAGCTCTTGACACATCATCTTGACACAACAGACACTGCATCTTGTTTGTCCAAATTTCTGTCTATGTTAAGTATGTTGTTGTTGTATGTTGAACCATATCAACGTGTCGGACTATAAAAATGATTTACATTCTTATCGGTTGAGTAGTTGTGATTGCAACTTGGTGAAATATGTGTTAATTTCAAACACACAGATACGGGCATGATCTAACTGTACTAGCATAGTTCTGCTTAAATACAATTCAATTCTACAATTCTGCTTAAATGTTTGTCAAAAGAACGCTTTGGGAGCAAGCACTTGACTTTCGAAAGGTGGGCCAGTTGCGCGATTTTGGGATGTTTTTCTTTAAGCGTTATAGAAGCTCAATAATATTTTAAAGCATAAATATTTTTAATATTTTATTTCATCATTAACTCAGTGTATTCCTTAAACAAATTTGTATGACTTTGTAGTAGACCATTAATGAAATATATCAGTAAACCAAATAAGAATGCAACTATGAATACACAGTGCCATTTAGAAAGTGGCCAAATGTTACAAATGTTATATATGGGATTACACTTTCTTAGAAAAGTACAGATTTTGTACCTTTTGGGTTGAGTCCCATCCGGGATTCGATGGCGTTTACGTACCTGATTCTGAGGGTGTATGTTCGAATCCCGGATGGGACTCAACCCAAAAGGTACAAAATCTGTACTTTACTTAGAAAGTGTAATCCCACATATAACATATGTTGTAAAAGAATGCAACTATGAAATATTTCCATAATACCGATGAGTACTTCACATAACTGGTCTGATGAATTACTCATGTGTTAAACAACGCATTGCAATATACCAGAATCATTCATGTTTAACATTCACTCTCTGGTGTCCGTCAAAGAAATGTATTTTAACAATACTGAGCTTATCATAAAGATACCTTACCGAAATAGCCACCCATATATTGAGTGCCACCACTGAAGGGTTCCCAGTATAAGATGAGACTTTAAAGACATACTTGGGCAGTACAGTGTGTATTATTTTCGCTTTAAATTCGATACAAAATATTATCGATATTGAATAACAAAGTACTGGTTGGGCAGTTCATGGGGTACGCCGTTTCTAGTATCGTAGGGTGTTGTATAGGTGGTGGTGATATAGTTTTAGGGCGACTTCGACTAGAATGGTCTATGTGGAGCCCAAGGGTGTTGTAGAGTCAGTATACAGAGTAGGCTCCCCTGCGTCTAATCCAATCAGTGCACTTTGACCGAAGATCGCGTTGCGTTCTACCGAATGTGACGCTCGACTCCTGGGCGAAAACACACTGCGGAGTCTTGGAAATATGTAGCATCGGTGCACAACCTTGTCCCAAATATATTAAATAATCAGACCACCTGTGTATACGTTGTTGCAGGATGAACACATTGATCACATGTCCACAGGATGGACAAACATCATCATCCTTGGAGATATTTGCTCCACTATGCAGACCTCTCCTGAATGGTTCCACAATTAGGTTCTGTAGATCCGTAACAACGACGTGTAACGACGTCACTGCTGTAGCAGTGATGCAACAACATTATGAAGCCATCGCATAAGCATTTATGCGCCACTAAAGACAATATTGAAAGCGTTCATGACACCGTCTCCAAAACATGCCAAATCACGTCTTCCACTGGAGATTTAATCTGACCTCTTCAGACAACAGAACCAACGATCACAGACTTTGATTCAAACGTCATCTTTGGAACCATAGTAAATGATCTTTTCCTCGACGTTGTTTCAGTGGAGGACGAACTGCTTGACTTGGAAATAACACAACTTGCCTCTAACGATGGTCATGCTAATGCGAACGTCTGTGTGATAAACTGCTCATTCAGATCCAAGGACGACCGTGTGTTCGCATAGCTGTACAACAGTTCCAGTGGTCTGTGTCCTCCAATACTAGTCTGAATGAGTGAGCCGCTTTTAGCAATATTCCAGCAATATAACGGCGGAGAGCACCAGAAATGGGCTTCATACATTGTACCCATGTGGGGAATCGAACGCGGGTCTTCCGCATGACAAGCAAACTCTTTAACCACTAGGCTACCCCACCGCCACACTCTAAATGAAGTTGTGCACCCTTTTTCAGCATCTAAAATTCAAATCTCATTTTACTCCGAAATGTGCACACTGTCACCACTTGGCGCTACTGGGCATGGAAGCAGTGTTTTCATACTTTCAGTTACACGTGTAGTAAATGACAATAACTCCCGTTCGGGTGTATCCACTTTGCGAACATCAAATGTCAAGCAATTTTCATCCGATTTCCAATAATTATGTTGGCTGAACATTCATTACTGCGTGTTCTGTTTCATTCCTATTCCTGTTCGTATTAACTATTGCATTAAGTGTACATGGTCCCTGGAACACAGCCTGTAGCCCCGTTCTTGTTCTGATCATATCAGATCATTACACTTCCTATTACTACTGTATCATTTGGCTAAACAATGATTAATGTGAATGTTTGTGTGACGTTGTGAGGAAATACGATCGAGATAAAAAAACAACAACAACGATACAATAACCCTCTATTTAGTTACAGCATTCGATGTATCTGACCGGCTTTATCCCCAGGATAATTGGACTGATTGGACATAGTACAGCATTAACGCCGTTCTTTTGCTGAGTTTGCATATATATCATAGAGTATGTATTTCACACGAATAATGCGTACATCCTTACAATTCAAACCTTTAACAGACAATATCATTCAATGAATCAAAAATGCATATCAACATACAAAGAACATTTTTAACACAAATCCATTTTTATCATTTTCTTTTTGTAATTAACTGACACTTTTACTTCGTATAAATTTCATATTGAATTTCCACTTGATACAAATCATATATTTCATTTAATACGTACCTTCAGGTGGTCATTGAGGTTGTTAGGGTCTCTGTTCATCATGTCCAGTTCTGCCATATTGGTTGAGACCTGTGAACAAGTAAATTGCACCGAGGTGTTGGCCGGAGAAGGTCCTGTTGAAACTAAACTGTTTGTCGCATCACTGGTCCTTAAATGCGACCAACGAAAAACTGTTTTCCACGATTGCCAAGCAGCGACGTCTCAAGTTTAGGAATAACTGTGAAAAGGAGTACACCCTTCATCACGTCACGTAACCGGTTTCAAACCTGAATTGACTCGTTAGTTCAAAGTTGAATGGACTATTATTTAAGTATAATGTAAATATGCCTATCGGAAGACGTAAGTGCGTTTCGTGAAATCCATTATGACACTGATAGTCTTGTTCAATACATGTATTATGTCAATAAACGGAGTTTATAAAAAATATCCGAGGTTCACCCCACCCACCTTATGTGTTACGGTTACCCTGCAGATGGTCCTCGGGGAGAGTGGCAAATAGGGTTCTCCCACGGGGAAGGAACAGGGAGAAGATTAAGTTTGCATGCTTCAGGTGTTGGAACAATCCTTATCCCGCTCATATCAATGGGGTTCTCACACAGGAAAAGAAAAAATAATAATCCCGCTCATATTTTCACGTATCATACCCTATTGAGACTTTTTGTTTGTGTTCAGTCGTTGGATGACTCCTTTGAGAGGAAGTTTTACATTTGGCATATGCTAGGGTCACTGGCATGAATGGGCTTGTCCACTGGAGACTGAGACCATCGCATATAACTATTCATCTCTTATCCTACTTTTCTTGCCACAAATACGAAACATCAACCACAAAGAATAACCAGTCTTGATTGTCCGACGAAACAGATTCCATTTTGCGTAAAAGGCAAAAAAAGCGTCGAAATTATTTTTATCATATCACTGAAACATTACTTCAACCCTTTTATGGTCTGCTCGCTTTGGTTTGGTTGTTGTTTAATGCCGCACTCAGCAATATTCCAGCTATATGGCGGCGGTCTGTAAATAATCGAGTCTGGACCAGACAATCCAGGGATCAACAGAATGAGCATCGATCTACGCAACTGGGACACGATGACATGTGTCAACCAAGTCAGCGAGCCTAACCACCCGATCTCGTTAGTCCCCTCTTACGACAAGCATGGGTTGCTGATGACCAATTCTCACCCGGATCTCCTGGTGATGGTCTGCCTGAAGTTAACACCGTGTACTAACTAGATCAGTGGGTCGTGTCATTGAAAACAATTATCATCACCTTTATCTTCAGTTTGATCCTATAAGATAGCTACGGTTCTACAGTGTTGGGTAAATAGAAGTAGAGTTTGGTTACAATCTGTAATTTGACAAAATCCCTTGAATCTATCTTATAACAGAGCTGACTGTTACCCCAGAAGTTGAGCCATTGATTATCCTGTTCATGCACTCTAGATTCGTTGACATATTTCATTGATAGGACATGATGAAGCTGGGTGGGTGATGAAAGTTGCGCACGAGGATACCGGAGGAGATATGTTTCAGATCAATGTTGACTTAAGGCGCCATGTTTAGGCTACTTATTGCGTGTCATGTGGCCCTTACTTAATGGGATGTTTTTCATAATGTCAACCACTGGTTTGTCTGATCCAGACTGTTGTGAAGTGGGTTGAAAATTCTGTTGAAATGGTTCTACAGGACTGTGAATCATTATTATGTTATTTGCGAACAGATATATTTACTGTAATTTTTTGTGTGTTTTAGTGGCGTCATCAAAGACACATCAAGACACAGCACTCGTTCAGTCTGTCAACACTGGGGTCCTGTCAAGTACTGTACACCTGTCACTCGAGTCCGTTTGACAGCAAGGGACGCCATTCGAGTACAGCAGAAATGTACAGACGAGACATTGGAGATCACAGATTATATTTGAACGTTTGGTTGTAGAAGACATCGCCTACCGATATAAACAATACTATAAATATTGATTCACCCTTGCATCAATATATCAGCGGTATCGTCTTAGAAATTAGTGTACGCGGGGACAAGTTCCTCGGTGAGTGCGGTATCACTTTCTGATTTGATTCACAGTGAAAACGTGTGAAAGGTTGGGTATTTCTAAGTTAAAGAAAACAAACGGATTTGTCAGTTGAGGCCGTTATGTCATTGATGTCGTGCTGCATGGGTTTTGGATTGCAGTATTTTTCAATGATGGGGTTCAACAGTTGTGGACACACTTCTCAAGAAAGTCCGTATATTGTAGAGTGAGTGAGTGCGTTTAGTTTTACGCCGCACTCAGCAATATTCCAGCTACATGGCGGCGGTCTGTAAATAATCGGATCTGGACCAGACAATCCAGTGATCAACAGCATGAGCATCGATCTACGCAATGGGGAACCGATGACATGCGTCAACCAAGTCAGCGAGCCTGACCACCCGATCCCGTTAGTCGCCTCTTACGACATGGGTTACTGAAGATCAATATTCGAACCCGGCTCTTCACGGGTCGTATATTGTAGAGATTCTTCAGATGATGTGTGTATGTTGTAGTAAGTCAACGTGGCCAAACTGAATAATTTTGTTGAAAATACTTTTAAAAATCTGTTCATATTCACAACGCCCTTCTCCTTTCTCAAGTAAATCATTATATTTCATTATGCGTCTAGATATCGCTGTAAACATCAGTGTACTTGCATATTCTCTCTGTATAAATGTTTGCATGTATATTGATATTCAACATACCTTTTACTGTTCATATTCCCAAGGGGCGGTGGGGTAGCCTAATGGTTAAAGCGTTGGTTCGTCACGCCGAAGACCCGGGTTCGAATCCCCACATGGGCACAATGTGTGAAGCCCATTTCTGGTGTTCCCCGCCGTGATGTTGCTGGAATATTGCTAAAAGCGGCGTAAAACCAAACTCAGTCAGTCAGTCAGTCATATTCCCAAAACAACATCAACCAGACAACGCAAGTCTGTAAGCATTTATTTGGATTGTACAGAAATAATATATTTACAAACTCATTCAAATGTGATTGTCGAGGCAGACAACAGAGAAGACATAGACAAGGTAGGTACATATACACGTGTATATGAAACATAACAGTACTATATGTACACAGTGGGTATAAAGGGTACAGGAAAGGTATCACAGTTTCTGGGGAAGATAGTTCTCAGCCGGCGAGACAGAACTAGAGAAATAGAGAGGATGTCCCTTCCATCCTCACAAAAACACCTCGTCCAACGGGAACCTGAGCATTTTGACGTAGCGTCGCCTTCTGAGATTGAAGGTTATTTGTTGGAAACTGCTATTTTACTGAAGCACAGGCCACATGCTTCACAGACTGGAGCCAGACAACAGTTGATGACGGAGCCGAAGAATTTCTGGTAGCATCCAAGATAGCTGCCGAACATCCTGAGGCAGGGTGTGAACTGCCAGATGTGTTGGAAGGACATCATGGCGAACTCACATCCCCAGCAGAGAGCCAAGGGAATAGCACAGATGAAGGTGAGGAAGGTGTAACAGCAGCTCTTGCCGCAGTTGAAACATTTATAGGAGTTACGCCAGACGCAATCTGCACTGTGGGCTCCCTCGGGCTCACCGATAACATCCTCGAACATCACCTGCAAGCAAGAGAAATGACTTTAGATGTGTGTCAGTTCTAGATTTCAAAGTCACAAATTAAGATTAACCGGTTCATGTACGTGTGTACAGAGCACGGGGGGGTTCTGAGGACATCCGGCGTCATAATGATGTGCATATATGTTCAGCAACATCAACAAATGCAGACGGTATGGATAACATTCAATAATTGGTCTATCCTAAATATGTTTGGTAGTTATAATATAATTTCCGGTGTTTTATGAAATATACTGAAATGAATAACTGAATATTGATTGCTCAAACGTATTACTCTCTCGAAATGTTATCGCCGGATTAGTTATCTTCTCCATTCTTATGAACTTTGTCTTCTTGGGGATATCAAATGATACAAAGATGCTGTTTTAATTGTTTGATCGGCATTCTAGAAGTTGGTGAGTCAAAAAGCAAACATACAACTTTATGGATGACAACTTCTTGTTAAATGCGTTAAGCGACGTTTCTTGAATCTACATCGAAACGTCGCTTAACGCAATCAACAAGAAGTTGTCATCCATAAAGTTGTATGTTTCATTTTATCATGTTTTATTTTATCCAACTTCATAACGATGTAAGAACTTAAACTATGGCGAGTCATTTTAGAATGGGATTACCAGCAGCACGGGCTAAAGTGAGTGGGATGGTATGTTTGAGGTTTTGTTCAACATTGCTCGTGCAGCAGCGCATGTCACCTTTACGTAAGAAGCACTTTAGGCGAGACGGTACGTCTTGAAGGTTACCACACTGTACGGAATCATGACATTGTTTGGGCAACTGAAGATTGTGTTGCATTAAATAATATGTAGTCTGATTACAATTGCCGTAGTGTACGCATCCATTGTTAGGGGTGTTTACTATTATCTGAATAGTGATAGACAATCACCAACGCCAACAATTACCTTGGTTCAAGCAAACCATAGTCAAAAGGTTCAGCATCGACCTGCGAGTGGTACACACGGGAAGGATGTTTAAGCGAACTTAAAAATCAGCTTGTTCCTGGTATAAATTGTTTCACTGTTATTATTGCTACTGCCGCCGCCATATAGTTCGAATATTGCTGAGTGCGGCGTTAAACAACAAACAAACAATTTGTTGCTATATATCAACGGCATATATTTATCATCGCAAATCGCAGCTAGTTCATTGTCTGTTAACACATAAATACGTGCATACAGATAGGTCTCCAAATATGAGTTCATATCAAGAGCAGATATTATCCAGGCCTTTATAACAAACACTTGTAAGTCGCAGGCCTTTTTCCAACAGAGGCGGCGAGCTATTCAATTTGACAGATCATGTAGTTCGTCTACATACACATCTTATCGCGCACCTAGGGTGGAGGACAAAAGCCTTTATTGACAAAACCATCCAAGGACATACATTTCACTATTCCTCCGCGGTCCCTACGTGTCAGTGACTGTGTTGTCAAGGACAACAGGTCCCTAGCAACGTAACAACGATATACAAACGATCCAAACTTTGCACTGCTCGCAATATGTATATTAATGCATATACTATATCTATCATTTTCGATATAAGTGTCACGATATATCGAGAATCTGAATTTACAGTTTATTTTTCTTTAATTCCCCTGTAATTCAACAAATATTACTAAACTACGTGAAAACCAATCATTTGAAAGATCTAATATGTTTTAAGGAATACAGCACATAGCGACACCTACTCATGTTCAAAACAACTTATTACAGTATGCCAAAATACGGGCTCTTAAATTGTTCCGAAGCGTGATAAGGAGTTCCAGAATCTCTCCAGAAACTTGCTGCACTTGTTTCTCCGTAGATTTATATATTTTTATTATTTTTTAGGACGTAACAAAATACGTTTGCCCGATATGTTACTGGAGAAAACACACATTATACATGGGTCCAGGCGTACAACCAGTAACCCAGTCCTTGCACTTCTACTTTCAATAAAGCTGCATTGATTTCCTATGCGTCTGCATTCATTCAGAACCATTCACTCGATACATGGCACGATCGATCACGTATCTCGGTTGATGATTTATGTCAAAGTGTGGTGTGGAGGGAAATTTGATATAGGCCAACCCACGAACAGACTCATTAAACCCTCGCGTTCAGTTAACTAGATGTAATGAATCCCATGTCCCGTGAAATGAAGCTGGATGATAAGAGGGTTGGACATATCATTGAAATATGGAACGTCCATGCCAGAGAAAAATCAGCCTTGATTATCCGTCGATCAAGACCATTCCACTTAGCTTAAATGCCGGGTGTTCTTAAAAAGGGGTAAGCATATCGCCCCCTTGGTAGTGATTGCTATTCATACAATTTGTATAAAAAGTACTTTCCTCACATCTCAATCCCTCACTTTGGAGGACTTCATAAACATCGCGTATTATTAGCACGAGCGAAATTATGATGACACAGTAAACTTTCTGTTAAAATTCATGACGATTTAACCTCCATGTATTCCAGTTCAGATAAAAACAATTATTAACAGGACCAAAATATACATCCATATTAACGTATTGAGCATACAAAGAACTTCATTCTATCCGTTTTCCGTATGTAATTTATACATTTACTTCAATTATCCTTTGAAAATGCATTTGCACTGAGGTACATTGTTTTGGGGGTTTTTAAATAACGGTCTTTTAATTAATACGTACCTTCAGGTGATCATTGAGATTGTTGGGGTCCCTAATCATCATGTCCAGTTCTGCCATTTTGAGATTTCAGTAATTAACCCTTACACCAAGTTGTTGAAGGGAGACTGTCCAGCTGAAACTAAGGCCGTTTGCCTTAACACTGGCCCTTAAATGTGACCAACGAAAATTGTTTTCCCCGATTGCTAAGCAGCAGCGCGTCCAGGTTTACGAATAACTCGAAAATAGAGAACACCCTTCCACTTATGATGGACGTTGCAGCAGACGACAGGTCACGTGACCTGTATCAAATTTCAATGCCCCCTGAATTCACCTGTTAGCTTGATGCTTGTTCAAAACTTTCAGCTATGGTTACCCTAAGGTGGGAGTTGTTTGAGAGTTTTAAGTGATTTGGTAAACATCCCCTACTCCGGTCCCAGATAAGCAAAGAGACAAGATCAGGCCGATTACTGGGTTAAGGTGCGTCATGGGAGAATTGGCTGGCGAAAAATCAAAATCCCGTGGTGACTCTAGCCTTGGCATGTTGTAAGGTACGATACCATTTTGCCACATCTTTTACTCTAAACAATTCTTAAAAACAAAATATTTGACATGAGACATGTGGTATCTAAAGATGAGTTCGTCAGGTGACTTCAAGCACCTCAGGAGTCAGGGAACCAACATCTTCTGATCCACTTCCTTCAACCCAATAAAGATGTGTCTAACGTTTTTAAATGTACTTATCCCCAGCTAACACTATTTTCGGTGCAAGTAACCATCATCGTCATCATCATCATTATCATCATCATTATTATTATTATCATCATCATTGTCATCGTCTTTACGCCGTCAAACCACGCAGCATTGGAAATGGAAAGCGAAAAAACATGTATCTTTGATAAAGTGATAGAAACTGTAAGAATACGATATATTGATACAATACACACACTGAAGTTCCTGAGCGCTTTTAATAGTATCGATGTTTCACTTTCGACAACTGTTGTATGTTGTACATGTTTGATCGGCGCTGAAACTATATTTACTGGGGTTTTTTCCTTCTGGGATAAGACCTGGATGTATATCCATCCCGCATAACGAAATGATTTATGAATACTGTGTGTAATGATGAAGGCAAATGCCACAGTCATTGGCAGTGTGGTGTCCCCCGAATGTGCTGATAAAGTGATTAGAAGATAAATGACAGTCATTGGCAGTGGGGTGTATCGCCGATATGTGTTGATAAAGTGATTAGAGTGAGTGAGTGAGTTGGGGTTTACGCCGCTTTTAGCAATATTCCAGCAATACCAGAAATGGGCTTCACACATTGTGCCCATGTGTGGAATCGAACCCGGGCATTTAACGTGACGAGCGAACGCCTTAACCACTAGGCTCCCCCACCGCCCCTAAAGTGATTAGAAGGCAAATGTCAGACTGTGTTGATAAAGTGAGTTGGAACCAACTGCTTGAATGTCTACATCATATGTTCCTGTAACATACAATGTTTGATACTATAAACTTGGTATGCGACAAGCATCAAAACACACACGCACACACGCACCCACGCACCCACGCACCCACGCATCCACGCACCCACGCATCCACGCATGCATGCACACAGGTCGCTATATGTTCTACTCAAAGTCCGCAGAAGATCACCATTTTAGGAGTTAACATAACATTCGTATGCATCTAACCTGAGATATCAAATGAAAAATATGAGATATACACCATATGAAGATTGAACTACCTTCACCAAGGTCACGATATATACTACTTGTTAATGAAACAGACAGTGCAGCATTTCAGTGATGTTATATTGACTACAGCTACACAGCTGCCAGTTTCCAAAGAGTTATGCCAGAACATTTTCTACGACACAAAATGTAACAAGACGCCTCGTAACGCACTCCCCTTTAAGTCAAAATATGCAAGGGGCGGTCTAATCGATCAACACTAGATATTGATGGCGTTGAACACGAAACAAAGCAATAACCTGCTTGATAAAGATGCCAGCATAGGTACCGATACGTTGAAAGCATAAAGAATTTGAAATCCATAACTTATCTCCATCTTCCCCAAAGAAACACCAGCATCTTTTAATAATCAAAGTTTCAAAAAGGTAAATGTGGTTGCTTCGTATTGAAACACTGTCATTTATGTTACATTTGACTATAAACTATCAACAACGAGGAGAGTTCTATGAATATACAACTTCTCTAATATTAATATGAGCGACGTTTAGGCGTAGCTACTAACACCGTTATCAAGCAGGTGTTAGGGATGATGGTGTTAGTAACTACACCGAGACGTCGCCCATATTAATATTAATCACACCAACTTCTAAATGCCGCTCGAAGAAGTTATAAGCTATCAGTGCTGTATATAATACGTTAAAATTGTATGTGCTACTATAACATTGTATCTACTGCTTCAACATTGTATCTGCTAATCCAAATTTTTATATGGTATTTCAGCAGTGTATATGGTATTTCAGCAGTGTATATGGTATTTCAGCAGTGTATATGGTATTTCAGCAGTGTATATGGTATTTCAGCAGTGTATATGGTATTTCAGCAGTGTATATGGTATTTCAGCAGTGTATATGGTATTTCAGCAGTGTATATGGTATTTCAGCAGTGTATATGGTATTTCAGCAGTGTATATGGTATTTCAGCAGTGTATATGGTATTTGTATATGGTATTTCAGCGGTGTATATGGTATATGCTATTTCAGCAGTGTATATGGTATTTCAGCAGTGTATATGGTATTTCAGCAGTATATATGGTATTTCAGCAGTGTATATGGTATTTCAGCAGTGTATATGGTATTTCAGCAGTGTATATGGTATTTCAGCAGTGTATATGGTATTTCAGCAGTGTATATGGTATTTCAGCAGTGTATATGGTATTTCAGCAGTGTATATGGTATTTAGTGTTTCATTTCAGCAGTGTATATGGTATTTCAGCAGTATATATGGTATTTCAGCAGTGTATATGGTGTTTCAGCAGTGTATATTGTATTTCAGCAGTATATATGGTATTTCAGCAGTGTATATGGTATTTCAGCGGTGTATATGGTATTTCAACAGTTTACATGCTGCTGTCCTAGTGTGGTGATCTACCTTCAGTTGTTGGCGATCTATAGCCAGTTTTTATATGGTATTGTCCAAATAGTGCTATTAGTTTTAACTTTCCACACTAGTTTTAGTTGTAATTGTGATATTCTAGTTGTTTTAGTGTCCTTCGTCGACAAGTTTTTATAATATACATATATTCCATTTCAATGTCAATTATGTTCTCGTCACGATATGGCTGCAATATTGCCGATGTGACGTTATATATTAACTCACTCACTCACTACATGCTGCTGTAATCCTGGTAACATTAACATGAAATAACTCTATATAAGGACAGAAACATCCTAGATTCTTTACTGCGCCATCAAATGACATGTAATTGACCATATACTTCATATGAATATTTTTCGATTTAAATCCTCCAAGACATGTCGAACACGAGGATGGATATTTGCACTAGATCCTTCAGATGTGTTTGTTTAATGGAGAAATCATCGACTTCTTCAATATAGTGCTGACAGTAATTATCGCCAACCGCCGGATATGTGCTGTTTGTGTTACACGTGGGAGGTCAGATCAGATCAAAGCTTGAAAGAGACATGAAATTGACTTCCATGGTACCCGACCCATATTGATGATATCGCAGTAATAGGCGTCAGACTGGTTCAACGTCGTAATGAAATCAATACCTTCTATCAAGATGCTAGCTGGCCAACCCTGGTAGCGAAAGAATGAACGAGCTCTCTTTACCTGTACACTAGTGGTTGATAGCATAATCAACGACTCAAAGCACATAGAAAAGAAACACAGCCAACCAATCCCCATTGTACCTGGCTATTACAAGCATGAGGTACTCGTGACCTTTCTGGCACCTGTCTTTATGAGCAGCATCAGTGATATATACATCAACAGCAACAGCCATTACAACATCGACTACAACAGTCATTACAACATCGACTACAACAGTCATTACAACAGAAACGCCATTTAAACAGGAACCGTCATTACATCTACAAGACAACAACAATTCCACAATGAATTGCTCTTATATTGTTCAAAGTTTACTGAGGACATCAGTTTCATGATGAACGAACGGGAGCAGTCATGGACACTATGTGCACTGGGTGTTTGCAAACCCATGTTTGTATGTAACGTGTTAGGTTCGTTGCACATCATTATCAGGGAACACAACAACATTTTCTGAGGATTGCAACAAATGAATGTACTTATGCCATCTCAGCGTCTAAGGTGTCGTTTGACAGCAGACAGACTAGGTAGGTGCATAGACACGTTTCAAACTATTTCAACACACTTTGACGTCTTTGGTGTAAGCCAAAGTGTGGTGGCAGACATTTAGACCAGCTTCCCAGTGTTATGCGGGTGGTCGACAGCGCTTAACTACAAAGCGGGAAGGTCTGACCTGATAGCAGCAAGACATAATCACTTCGTTACTGCCTCCACACTCAGAAATGACCTGCGGAACTCAAGTGGCTTTAAAGTTCTCCGACAGTGTGTAATCGTCACCGTGAGGTTGGTCTCCAGTCACGGAGGGCTTGTAGTCGTATCCGGCTGACCCAACAGGCAGGTACGTAGGGATTTGGCTGAAGATCACGTGAGCTGGACAGACAAGGACTGGAAAGTATTTCTTACTGTCAAGACTTCAAAGATGGTCGTGCCCGACTGTTCAGGGTTCTAAAACAGCCGAAAATGGCCGCTATTGATCATGTTTTTGGGGTGGATGAGCAGAGCTCGAAGAACCGATCCTACAGCAGAGCATGATGACAGGTGTGTGCAACAGGGCGGGCATTCTGGATGTATGAGACAGTGCAGTCAGTCAGTGCAGTCAGATAGTGCAGTCAGACTTCATCCTCATGTACGATAACATGAGACCTCATTCTGCCAGGGTCGTTGATGCCTTCCTAATAACAGGGGTCATTGTCCGCAGGGGGTCATTGTCCGCACGGAGTGGCAAGTCCGGTTAGAAGAGGTCAGTCGTATCGAGCA